GGTCACTAAAAGAGGCAGTCACTAAATGAGGACTACCTGTATCTTTACAGTAACTCTCTATAGTAGGACAAGAATGGCCCCTGTTAAAGTGGGAGGGGATGTGTATCATAAATCTATAAGCTGAAATTGGAGGAGGAAGCCTCCAGCACACCTCAGACAGGAATTCTGTATAAAATATTTTGGGGTTTCCAACTGTGTGGCTAAAATAGAGGGCTTTCACCATAAAAGTTGAGAACACATCAGAGACAAAGGCTGGGTTTAGTCAGTGATGGAAATCAAAGCTCTGTGTGATTCTAGATTTGTTCATTGGAAGAAACAATACTTGAATTACAGAGTTTTATAATGTCAGCCCTTTTGTGCGATCATTCTCAATAATTTACAGGAGTTTTACTCAAAGTCTCATTCAGAACAGCTTCTTAAGTGGTGGCGGCCAGTTTGCACCAAGAGAGTAATACCATTATTAACAATATCAATAAGAGTATCAACAATACTATCAATAATAATATTAATATGAGAAGGGTTGCTGTTCCTATTGTTGCTATTAGTATTGTTGTTTATTAGTGTGGTCAGTTGCAGGATATTTTTGTTTTATACGTGAGATAGATTCCTTTCCATTTTTTTTACTCTATGATCCTTCCAAATTTCATTCAATTTAATTTTTATTCTTTCCAGTTTATGTTTGTTTGTTTATTTATTCTTATTAAATTTATATGCCGCTCATCTCCCCCAGTTGTATTTGTTGTTTCTTTAGGAATTTTAGAACTGAAAATATCAATAATTTACTAGCTAAGTTTTAAATATATTCATGAACCTCCTCTGCTTTGAACTTTTCTAGCAGGAGAACCAACAATTTCAGATTAATGTTATGGGTGCCTGAATATCCCAATTTAGAGATATACATCAGTGAACATGTTGGCTGAATTCTTGCAACAGGAAAGACTGGATAAAAAGAGAGTTAGAAATCAATGTTTTATGGAAATCCAACTCTTGTCTTAGCAAGATTGAGGAATAAGGCCATTCTATTAAACCCGTTTTTTTCAAATTTGGCAATTTTAAGATGTATGGACTTCAGCTGGGAGTTGAAGTCCACTCACCTTAAAGTTGCCAAGGTTGAAAAGCTCTGTATGAAACCATAGTATGTTTTATTAGAGCGCCAGTTTGGTGTGGTTGGTAAAGGCACCAAGCTAGAAACTGGGAATCTGTGAGTCCTGCTTTGGGCATGAAGCCAGCTGGGTGACCTTGGGCCAGTCTCTCTCAGCCCTAGGAAGAAGGCCAGGGCAAGCCACTTCTGAAAATGTTGCCAAGAAAACTGGGTGGACTTATTTTTGGTTTGGATATGACATGACATATAAACACGGCAACTGTGTTTTCTTAATCCAAGTTTAGGGTTTTAGCATATTGTATGAATCTAACCTGACAATAGCAATTATAGCATGGGTGAGGAATCAAGGGCCATGATGGTTCTTTAGAATCATCTTGAAGGCCACCCTTGTAGGAGAGAGTGGGTCTCGGGCAGAAGAGGACGGAACAGGGGTGTCCACGGGGAGGCAGGATCAAAATAGGGCAGTCACGACTGTGCAATCAAGGCCATGCCCCTTTTCAAACGGGTGTAATTAATTGATTTGATTGTGCAGTTGTGGCTGTGCTCTTGACCTTTTTCACCAGCCCCCATGGATGAGCCTGAAATGGTCCACAGGATGTTTCCTCTTATCACAGTTCCTCTTGCCACGTCATTCGCTCCCTCAAAACCCCTTTCGTTTTCACTCGTTTGCATTTTATGGGATGGCAAAGCTCACCCATAGCAACGGTGAGTTTGCAAGCTTTCCCCAATTGGTCTGGCTTTATCAGCTGATACAGGTAGGTGTGAGATGCTACCGGATTTCATGCCCCCATCGTAAAATAAGTATAAAGAGATTATCCGTCTGGTTCTTATAGACACAGGGACAAGATCTTCATTTATTTTAAGGGCATTACAAGGAGTGACAAAGTGGCGCAGAGAAACTTCTTGGGTCTTTGCTTCGCCCACAGTGTTCTTGGCCAGGCACTGATAGATTCCTTTGTCAGATTCTTTAGTGTCTTGGATCATAAGCGTGCCGTCTTGCAGCAGGTTCAGCCGCCCATCATCCTTCATGTTGATCTCGTTGCTGCAACGCAAAAAAGAAAGATGCCAGCCAACCTCATTCCTCTTTTGGCCTACAGAAGGATTGGCCTACAACTAACAGAACCCTCAGACAACAGTCCAACTCATCCACAGGGTGCCAAGCTGGGGAAAGCTGGTGTCAACAGCTTGAATCATGTCCTAAGAGGACGCAGGGGTCACCTTAACCAGCATGACCAAAAGCAGCTTAAGATCAGCAAACATATGCACAAACTTGGTAGTATCTGCCAAGGTATTACTCCAGCTTCTCAAAATTCCCGATCTTTGGCTGGACATGGGGATTCCATGCCAAATTCAAATGCACTGATGGTGCCCTGATTACAGAGGCTACAGGGGAGTGGGCTGGCCGCATACCTGGTCTTTCCATGCCAGGCCCTTGCAAATACCCCGGGGACAATCTTAAATAACAATACAATAATAATAATTAAAAAATGGAGGATTGCACCCCAAGATTTTGTTTGTAAATTCCAGCCTGCCCAGAAAGAACACGAGTAAGATGGGGGTACTGATTTACTGGTAAATGTTTTTCCCCCCCCCAGGGTAATGTTATTTGTGAACCTTACGCTAATAGGAGTCCAGCAAATCTGGGTTTCCCCAGTGGCATCCACAGGTGGGAAGAGGTCAAAAAAGGCAAGATGACAGAAGTAGAATCACAATCCATGCCCTGTCCATTGGGATGGATTGTCATGCTGCTTCCGCCATCTTGCCTTTTCTGAGCCCCCCCGAAAATATCACCAGGTTTCCCCCTATTCTTTGGCATAGGCTCCTCTCAGAAGACATGATCCATCCAACTTACTTGTTGTGAAACCAGATAATCTTAGGTTTGGGGTTCCCCTCTGCCCGGCAGATGAAATACACAGTGTTGCCCAGAGTGACATCTGCATCTTGAGGTTCAGTTGTGATGCGAGGGCTCTCTGAAACAGACAGACGAAGGGTGCCCCTTCAAAAGCTGAAGGATATCATACATGGTTCTGGGGTTTTCACTGAGCATTGCTAAATGTCCCCCTTGAGCCAAAATCCAGATTCACTCATTATGGCTCTTGGGGTGTAAACTAAGCTGAACCTAAACTGAGATTCTGATCTAACCCAGATCTGATTTAATCCAGCCCCTGTCCTAGTTTTCTATAGCCAGCCTCTGCTCAGGAAGACTCAAAAGTGACCCAAAGGAATAAGAACTCGATTCTCAAAGGTTTACTTGAAATTCTCCATGAAATTTGTGAGCCAATAAAATGGATGGACGATTTATCTGAATTGCTCAAGAAGGAGATAGCCTGTGACTAGAAGAGACAGAAGGATACTCTGGGTACACATTTGTATTATTTTGATGCTGTTTTATATTGGGTTTCTATAGTGTTAATATTTATGTTTCAACTGATAGTACATTAACCTAAGAGAAGGTGAATATAAAATAGCTGATGTTGAAAAAGGCAAGCAGAATCAAGCAGACCATCAGGCTCCCCAAGGAAGAAGAAAAACTACACAACTAATTGGACATATCCATGAAATCACCAGGACATGGATTGTGAACTTGGCAACTTTAAGAAGTGTGGACCTCAACTCATGCTGGCTGGGGAATTCTGGGAGTTGAAGTCCATACATCTTAAAGTCGTCAATTTTGAAAAAACACTGGTGTAGAGAGGAAGCAGGATGACCTTGATGGAGATATGCAAACTCCATTATCAAAGCAACAAGGATGTCTTAAGTCCACAACAGATAGATAATATTTGGAAGAGGCTCAGGCTAATTCACTGACAAATGAGAAGGAGGAGGACTTGCATGATTCTGTTATGACAGCCAGTCTCAATAAAAGTAGTTTTAGCCTTCCTGTGCAGTTGATGTCCTAATCTGGTCTATCTAGTGGGTGTAAGAATCTGCCAAACTCAGTTCCCATAAAAGTAAATCTCATCTGGATCATAAATGGATTCAAAGAAGAAATTCTTTATTGAGAAGCAGTGCTAGGTTACTGCCAAGACTAAAAGCCTGCGTGCGCCAAAACTCCTTTTCTTCCCCATCTCTTGCAACCCCCCCACCCTTTCCAGTCCATCTTCCTTCTTGCTGGTGATCTCAGCTCTTCCTGGGTCTCAAGCTGGTACGACCTTGGTTGTTCTTGGGAACCAGATAACAGTCCACCTGCACTTAATGGCCCTTTCTCCCCACCCCCCTTTTCCATAATGGCAGAAACGAAGCAAGCAGATTAACTATTTAATTGATTGCGAGTCTTCTGACAATGGGGCTGACATCAGTCTTATACACCCAAGGGCCATAATGTTCCTCTAGGTTGCACTGTTTCCCAACAACTATTCTCCTCTCGCTTGTGGCCAAATCATCCATTTAGTCAAAGGCTCTTATGTGAAGCCAGCAATTGGGTTTTGCTAATCCAGGTTTAGAGTCAGCCTAGTGTCTGAACCCAGCCAGAAAACCCAGGTGGAAATTCTGCTGAGCTGTTTAACTGCTTCCAGGGATTCTTGGGACATGAAGGGAGACAAACACACAGTCTGGAAAGACAGCAAACAAAATAGGTAACAGATCAGGTGATGTCGCTGATGGAACAACTCACCACAGTTGAATTCTCGGGTGGTCAAGGTGATGACAGAGCGACCCAGTAACTCGGGTGGGCTCTCGCACGTGGCAGCTGCTTGAGTGTTGCCCTGTATGGTATACTTCTTCAGTAGCTCTGCCAGCCACATCAGGTCACAGTCACACAGCAAGGCGTTGGAATCCAGCCGCCTGAGAAGAGGCGGATTGGAATGAATAAGGGTTGATTTTATGAGTTTAACCACAGATACAGGAAAGTCCTATTTTTCCTTCTGCTTTGCCTCACCTCCATCTGCAGTCAGTGGCTTGTTCCTTAGGGCTGTTCCTTACAGCCAAGTTAAAGCATTATCTACTGGTCCTTGAGCTGGATGAAAACTAGACTAAAATGTTCTGTCCCCGTTGGTGATCTCTATCCTACCAGTGGCATGACGCCAGCAAATATGCTGTCCTTATTTACAATAGACAGGGCCTGTTAAGAACAGGAACCGGTGGATTCCTCCAGGTTGCTTCCCTCATCTCCTGGGAACTGACATCAACCATGGGAAAACATTCCATAATCATTCTTCCTAGCAGGGACTGGGGAAGGGCAGAAGAGGTGAGTTTTGTTAGAGGGCTCAACCAGCAGATTTAGCCACCTGTCAAATCTTGCTCTGGTTTTGTGTGAATGTTTTGCACAGATGCTTTTAAAAGGAACTCATATCAGCTGAGCGTTGGACTTCTTTTGGATATGGGTTTAAGGCTATTTCAGAAGAGGGCTAAACCCATGCTCAAACAGCCCAAACAAGAGCTTCCTGACTGAAACAGACCTGGGAAGAGGGTCCTCATGTTGTCTTCCCTTGTGATCGAAGGTGTAATGGTCTGGGAGAATGACCTTGGGAGACAGGAGGAGGAACAGGCAAAGCCTAGCCAATGGGTAGATTATGAAGGTGGCCTTGGAAGATGGGGGAACGTGAGAGTGGCCTTGGAAGACGGAGGAAAGAGATGCCACCTAGGGAGTGATCAGATAAAAGAGAAAGGAGCCCACAACAGGGTAACGGGCAAAGAAACGAACATAGGAAAGACCCACCGTAACTAATCAGGCAGTAAATAGGGAGGGCGGGAGATTTGTGCTTTCAGACTTGCAAGATTCTGTTAACGTAGCCTTACAATAAAGTAGAATTAGCTCATCTTGTCTTGTTTCCTGTCTGGTCTACCTGGGAGGGCTGACAACAGAGATATCTCAGCCGCAAAAGGAATGGGGGTAGAAAAAGCCTAGTGCCCGAGTTATCTGGAACTTTACTTTCCCTAGTTTTCTGGAAAGTAAAAACGGGAGGGAAATAGTTGTTTCAGGCTTGTAAGATTCTGTTACTGTAACCTTATAGTAAAGGTAGTGTTAGTACTCATGGTTTTGATTTCTTGCCTGGACTACCTTGAAGGACTGACAGAACAGAAGGGTGGGAAGCCAGGGAGGCTGTAGGCCAGTGTTTCTCAACCCTGGCAACTTTAAGATGAGTGGACTTCAACTCCCAGAATTCCCCAGCCAGCCTGGCTGGCTGGGGAATTCTGG